ATAAAGCAGAACCTTTTTACCAAAAACTTGTTTCCAATATTGAAATCAGCACTACTCTCACTAAACAGACATGAACATGTTTATTGCCCACACAGAAGGCTTTCCGGAAGAAATGTTGTACTCCTAAGAAGGTCCAAGGACTACTTGAGCAGCAAATCAGATCAGCTTGGTTTTAATAGCCTGGAGGTAGGGAGGACAAGGGATCTTCCCGTTCACAGGCTGTGGCCTGTGAGATTTAAACACAGTGCAGGTACTAAAGGCAGAAGCACTTAAGCTTTCTTACCAGTATGTCTGGTTATGGGGCAAAAGCAGCAATGGTGAATTGTAGAAATTTCCAGCAAAAAAATAAAAATAAAAATAAAAAATGGGTGAAACTCTACTACAAAGTAACAGTACAAGATTCATTTGGTTTATGCTTTTGAGAAGTGGTTTCACATTATCTCATGATCTTAAAAACAGAGAAATAATTTAGGGGACAATACCAAACCAGTGATTGCAACTAACGCTGTCTTTGCCTTCTATCACTGAGACTCCTAGATTCTGATCACAAGGGAAGCCTCACTGAGTCTCAAAGTCAATGACAGGAATGGGGAGGCTCATTAATAAAGAACCCTTAATCCTTCCAAGGCAAGTGGACTTCTTTAGATCTTTGGGGCCCTCACTCTGCTTTTAACTTGCTGGCACATTCCTATCCTTCCCTTTAACACTCACTATTCTTTGTAATGTTTCTCTTACTCTGAAGGCGCTTCAGCAACCAGAGTCCCTCAGCCAGCTTCTTCTTCTTTTTTTTTTTTCCTGCAACACTTGGCATACTTTGTCTTATACCATTTATCTTATCCTTCGGTGTATTTGTTTGGTTTACATTATTTTATTTTGGCAGCCAGACTACAAGCTAATCTGACTGTGTGGGTCATGATTGATCTGTCTTTGCTCTCATTACTCATCCAACTATTGCTGATAATACAGTAGATGTCTCGTGTGTTTAATGAGCAGTTGAATGAACAAATGAGATCTCAGGCCCTATTATTTTTGAAAATATGCAATGTTGTTATAACCAAGTAAACAGTAAATCACTAGAGGGAACTTCTGATTTCAACTGTATAGAAAACAAAAGCCCATGCATTCGACAGGTACCAACTGTTAATATCTTGCAGTCAGGATTTCTGTGAGTTACTAAATAATTTTCCTTTGGTGTCGGGGTCGATAGTTTCCCCACCAATTCCTATCCTCACGTGATACAAATGAGAGCAGCTTTCAGGTCCATTATCTAGTTCACATGTGGTTTCAGAGTGCCTTGTAGTCTGCTACTTTACACCTACCAATTCTTCATCATTGTGCAGGAAAGTGGGAACCAGAAGCATATGGTGCAGAGGAAGAACTGACTGCAAGGCCCTGTGGCTGGTCATAGAGCTAGCAAGCAGGGAAGCAGGACCAAGAGTAGCACCTCCTGCTTCTAAAGTCCAGGTTATAACCATATGTCTCAACACCTCTTCCTCAGAATGTGATTTGTGGCTCTTATTTCATATGAATCAATGAATACTGGAATGAAGGAAAACTCATTTTATGCTAGCTGAATAGGAAACATGCATGACTCCAAGTTAAAAGTTTTCCTCCATGCCCTCATTTTAAATCCCGACTCCCTGAATCCATCTGCCTCTCAGAGTCAAGATGTCACCTTACTTGCTTTACTGAAATTAGACTAGGATCTCTGCAGCTTTCCTAGTGGGTGAGCTCTGCCTGCACCACTCCAGCAGTCCCACTCTTGGCCCAATCGGCCTTTTCATTAAGAAGCCAGGCCATGTTGAACAAAGTGTTGCTTCACCAATATAGACCTGGAATTTCCAGCATTTACATTAAAAAAAAACGTGGATGAGCTTCCCACAAAAAGCAAGTCTTTGCCCTCTACAATAACAGTCATTTCCTTAATTGGGCAGTTTTACATATACCATGGCATTATTATCTTTTCATTCTCGTAACCTTCACCCTTTGAGATGTAAACTGTCACTTCCTTTTACTAGATAACTATAGTTTAGTAGGGTTACAGCTGGCTAATAACTGAGACAAAGTTACAACGGCTGGAGAAGAGAAACAACTGAGCTGAGCTGAGGCACATCCCAAAGTGCTGGGTTTTTTCTGTGCCTTCTGCTTTCCATGAACACACGATAAAACTACAGCAAATGACATGCAAAGACATTGGAGGAGAAGTGAACCACAATTTATGGTAGGGAAAACTTAGGATCATAGCTAAAAGTGGTTTTACTGGTTTCTCCCAATGCCCTGTGTATGGAACCTAAGGTTGTGAGGTCACCTGCAACAATACAGACATTTACATACGAGACAGAGCCTCAATCAGACACAAGCCTGACTCACTCCAGTGATCTTCCCACTTGAAAACATTGCCAGTCCCGGGACAGCCTCAACAAGCTTGCATTTAGATGGGGTCCCATCAGCATTACTATTGAGAAGATAAAGCCACAGTCTGCAGTCTGCTGCTTTTTATCTCACCACCATCCTGTTTGCTAAATTCACCCAAGCATCCTTTGTTTCATGACTGTGATTTCTTGTGCAATCCCTTGAGGGGATGTACATCATCATTTGTAAACCAACCTCCTGCTCGGATGCAGAGGAAGACCTGAGTGTCACATTAGACCTGTCTCCCAAGCTCTCCTACGGGGCTGGGTAGTGCTTCTCTTAAGAGGCCATCAATTAGGACTACACAAACCACATGACCACTTCAGCATTACTTGCCTTGCCGCAGAAACACTACACAATTCAAGCTAAGTTCATTGTGATTAACAGTGGAGTGGTCCTCTGTATTCTCAAAGAATGAACTGCCCTCTTGCTATCATTCAGTGCATACATGGCTTGCAAAGAAAGACAGTGGCAGAATAGGGAGTTTAAATACTATGGACAAGCAAGATGCTGGGATAATTACAAAAAGTTAACTAATTAATAGTCTCAGTTTTTTAAACACTTGGCAGAGTACCTAACCTCTAGTACTTAACAAAAGCAGACAGAATGAATCTCTCTGTATTTTAAATTCTCCAAGAATGACATGGGAGCAAGGGTCAGACCAACCAATTGCTTTTCTTATACATCTTTCAAAGGGCTTGCCTGGGAATCTCTTTATCCAGTGTAGGGGAACTGCACTACGAGATCTTAAAACCAGGTAGAAAACTGAATAATGAAGTGAGAACATATTTTAAATGAGGCACAGTGCCGTGTACAGGCCTCAGTAAAGCTCAGACACACAGTCAAAGAGTGGCATGGGGATTTCAACATTAACTAGCACCTAGAAAGGAGCAGACAGACTTATAAGGACACTTGTGCCTCAGGGAGGAAACATCTGAGGGAGGTTCCATTGTCAAATATAAGCCTAGAAAGCATGAAGGTTGGCAGGGGAAAAACAAAACAAAACAAAACAAAACAACAGTTCAACATGGATGGACCATAACAGCTTACAACACCAGTCACTTCTGCAACTAAAGAAATGGTTAGTATTTATGAGTACTCTGGGACTGGGAAAACACTCTGGGAACTGGGCCAAGTGTTTTCACATCCATATTTTCTTACCTTTCCTAGACACAGAGAGCACTTTTTTGTTTTTGTTTTCTTTGTTAAGCAAACTATCCAGTCTCCATGACTGATATGATGGAACTAGAAGATTACCATGCTGGAGCTTGATGACTTTCAGAAAGTGTTCTATAGGCTTGCGGTGGTGGCATAGGAGTTGTGGTGAGGAGAGCCCCCCACCTGCAACTGGAGCCATTGCTCTTAGTTGATTTCACAGGACAGATTTGTACGTCAGACGTCATTTGGTTAGAGGGCTGCCACTGTGAAGGACAAAAACTGAACTGCTATGATTAAATGTTTCTTGGAGCCGCATTCTGTTTATTTAATCAGCATGGTAGGGAGCTGCAAACTCACTGTATTCAGCACGGCCTGAAGTATCAGAAGGGAAAATCAGCCAGATCACACCATCAGACACCTACCTACTGTTTGAAAGCCAAGGCACGACTGTGCTGCAGAGATGGGAGAAATGAAAATGCCGAATGGAAAGGTAGCTAGTGGGTTCCAGCCCTGCTTATCTCAAGCTGACCTAGAGCCCTGCATTCATTTTCCCACTGTACATCGTGTGACAAAGGCTTCAGTCACTGTTACTGCCTTCACAAATGCCCCACCTACAGCTAAGACAGTCTGCTTCTGGGAGCCACCAGACAGAATGGCACTAAGGGCCATTGTGATGCACTTTTTTTTTAATTGGATCAACTTCTTCTCAGTTCTATTATTATGGAATATCAGATACAATTTCATCATCAAGATATGGAGCTTTCTCAGCTGAGTGGTGGTGGCGCATGCCTTTAATCCCAGTGCTTGGGAAGCAGAGGCAGGCAGATCTCTGTGAGTTCGAGGCCAGCCTGGTCTACAGAGTGAGATCCAGGACAGGCACCAAAGCTACACAGAGAAACCCTGTCTTGAAAAACAATTAAAACAAAAAAAGACATGGAGCTTTCCCTAATTGAAAGCAAGAAAAGCTAGTTCACACTATTTCTTTACTCACCCTCTGACAGTACCACCAATAAACAATTTGGGGTCACTCAGTTTAGCAAGCTTGTTTCTAGGAAAGCAGAAGTGTGGCTCTTTGGCTTGTAATCACTCCTGAACTAAGATCGAGGCATGTTGCTTAGCAGATGTGGAAGCCTGTGAAATATCATCACACATTCTCACTTGTAGTCTGAAACACACATGCCTAGCTTTACATACTACAATTTTTACAACAGGCATATGGGGGAGGCTTAGTTTTGAAAAGGGTGCTGGAGATGCTAGGCTGATTCTGTTCAAATCCATGTGGGAGTGGGGATCTGTTTATCTTTACATAATGGTATTTTGGGCTGCATTTTGAACTAAGTAAAATGCTATGCTGTCAAAGAACACAATGGCATAATACAACCCTCTGCTTTCCCCAACCCTGTATTTAATTAAGAAATGAACACTAGTGATGAAGAAAGCTATCAATTAGTTTAATGTTTACTAGCACAGAGATAAATCTCAAACAGTCAAACAGTATGCACTCACTTGAAGAAAATACAGTGTTACCCAATAGTTTGTTCATTAGTAATGAAAATGGATGCATCAACCTTCCCACTTTGGTGGTCGAAGCCCATGTTATACAATTCTTCTGGTAACTCTTAGCACAGGTCAGTGGAAAGAGTATGAAATGTTTTGAGACGTAGAAAAAAAAATCCCAAATTTGCTGGATATGTCAGCATCTGCTTGTATGTTCCCATCTGCCTTGGCTATGGCATAGTTCTAACCTATGAACTCCTTTATAAGGCAAGCGATTTCTAGACTGAAGTTTTCAACACCATCTAACTAGGGTCAAACCATCTTCTGGCACATCTGCAATAAAAAGACAATCCATGGTGACAGAAATCCTCCAGCCAAGAGGTCCTGCTTCTCAAAGGGGCCGTGTGTCACCTTTGGTGGCACTTAATGATTCAGTCTCACACTGGTAAAGGTGATCAAAAGAGACACCATGCTACAGAGATATAATATCACTGAAGGGTGGAGCAGATCCCACTGGAGCATGCACACAGAATGCAGCCAGAGTTGAAGTATCACAAATGAAACACATTATAATAGGAAGGAAACGGTAGATTAGGGAGATCAGAGTCCAAAGGAGAAAGATCAATGATGATTCAATACCAATACAAAGTTCAAACACAAAGGGCAGAGGGCTGAAGTGGCTCTGTCTACTAAAGCCTTGGAAGGGTCTAACTTCTAAGCAACTTCTGCTAACAGCATCATCTATCCTATTTGGGATAAGGTACCTGTTAAAGGTCTAAATTTAGGAGGGAGGGAAAGGGGGAGTGGGGAGAGGGGAATAACATAAAAGCACTGAAAACTAGAGCTTCTACAATTCTAGAGCAATCTGGCTAGAATCAGGACATGGGCCACGTCTACTCTACAGTACCACCAACAACCAGGGACGGAAAGGGAAGGAAACTCGTTTTGGGGAAAGAAGAAATTGGTGTTTCTCATCTTTAAGGGGTGGAGTATCTTCTCAGATGGTAGCTGTAGATCTTGACGCAGTGATCCCAACAGTCCAAGACCAGCAGCTGCCCCTTAGGTGTGAGGGCGATGCCCACCGGACAGGTAAGACCCTCTCGAATAAGGACGCTGTAGCCTCCACCCTTGGGAAAATGGAGAATTTCCTTGCGGCTGCTATCAGCCACAATGAGGTCACCCCGAGCATCCACACACATGCCAGCGATGCAGCGGAAATCCTCATTTTCGGAGAAGAAGTGGCTGATCTGCCGGCCCAGCTGCCCATCGGGGCCCACAGAGCCGATGGAGAAGCCTCCTTCCAGGTGGTGTTCATTCTGTCGGTTTTCCACATTGAGACCCAAGCCTTGGGTGAAATAGACTGTGCCTTCAGCATCACAGGTGACAAATTTGGGCCTCACAGCACTGCAGAGGCAGCTGTATTTGACGACTCCTGCTCCTCGGTCCACAGTGAAACACCAAAGCTTCCCACCTTCCACGTCAGTAACCACAAACTGGCCAGATGGTAAGGCTGTGATGCCCCATGGTTTGCTCAGTTGGCTCCTGTGACAGGCCACACAGTGGCCATCCAAGGTATAGACTTTAAGGGAGTTGTCATAGCTGTCAGTCACACCAATCAGCCCATGGCAGTTCATGGCTACTGAAAGAGGAGTGAGATTGGGCAAGTCAGCTCCGAGGAAGCTGAGCACGAAGCTGTCAATGCCGCTGGGGCTGCGGCGGATCTCCTTCAAAAAGCCTTTGCGGTTGAACACCTGGATACGATAGTTGCCCCGGTCAGCAACCAGCACCTCACTCTGACTGGTCACGTAGAGACTGACTGGAAGATTGAACATACCTGGCGTGCTGCCTTTAGCCCCCATCTTCTTGAGAAAGAGACACTGCTGGATACTGGAGGTTGCCTCAGAGCTCCGCTGTTTCGCAGGTGAAGCCCTGGGGCTGGGAACCACTTCCTCGGGGCTCATGTCCATTTCTCTAAAGGTAACAGAGGCTGAGGCAGCAGACGCGGCTGCCTCCTCCACTGCCCAGGAATCATCCATGTTAACTGTCCGGGGCTTCTTCACAGCCTGCCCGATTTGAAGAGGACCAACGTGCCCTACTTTAAGGAGCTCCACATCTTGCAGGGTAAGCTCCCGGGGTAGGTTGGCAGTGAGCTCTGGCTCCTCCTCATCTGCTGTCTCCTCCAGTAGTGCTACATCAGCCTGCTTGATCTTGGCTAGAAAGTAGTCACAGCGAGACACGGCCTGCACCTCTGCAATGTTGAGTAGGTAGCTCTGTTCCTCTACCACTTGACTGTTGGACTTCTCAACCTCAGCCAAAGAACCTGTGAAGAACTTCCGGGAGCGGGCTAGCTCTTCCTGGACCCTGCGCTCTTCGTGGCCATACTCTTGAAGAACAGCCTTATATCTTGCCTGAAGGTCCCTGGAGACACCCTCCAAGGCCACCTTCCGCCTCTGCAGCTCTCCCATAAGTTCCCTCAGGCGCGTCAACTTCTCCCCGAAGTCCCTCCGCCGTTCCTCAGCTGCCTCCTTGACAGGGAGTGTACAGTGGCCAGGAGGTTGGTGATCTGCCTCCCGGCAGGGTTCACACAGCACCAAACCACAGCTTCTGCAGAACTGTCGAGGCAGCCGCCGGCCACAAGCTCGGCACATGAGCAGCCCTACGGCCTCACTGAGGCCAGCTGTGTCGATGATCTTCAGCACGGTCAGGTTGTCTGTCAGCTGGGTCAGGCTGGTGATGCGAGTAATCTTGCTGCAAAAGGGACAGCGGACGCCATTGATGCTACTGGCCAGGAGCTTCTCCAGACACTGGCGGCAGATAGTATGGCCACAGTGCAGCAGCTTGGGCCGCAGCTGCTCTTCAGTGAAGGACTCCATGCAGATGGGGCATTCCAGCACTTCCCGGAGGGCATCCAGGTTCAGGTGAGAAGCTGCAGCAGCGGCAGCCATTGCTCTTCCTGCAAAGGTTCCTGCTAACACAGCCCGGAGCTCAACAGCTTAATATTCATGCCCCAGTGTCAAATTCCTGCTAAAGAGAAAAAGAAACCATTATTCATTTGTCCACTGCCCATATAAGTTAATCCTATCTAGAAACAACTAGCCTAGAGCCATAATCATCCACTTCATCATTTACTTATTTAACAAATGTTTTATTGCGGTCATTATGTCTCAGGCAATGGTGACACACAGGGACAAAAAGATGAAACCTTATGTATGGGTGAATTCAGGGAGGAGCCAAAACCCCGAAAGGTCAGTTTCCCTATCTACAAAACAGAAACGACAGCATCTATCTTATATGGTTACTGAAAGGGTTAAGTAATATGACATACAGCAGAAAAGCAGAGAACAACCCTGCCCCGCAGAGAAAGTCACATGAAGGTCCACACCATTTCAGGGGGATACAGTGGGCAGTCATGGAAGCTGTCAACTGAGCAAGGTTGCTCACAAGAGCTGCTACTTGTAAGATTAAGTCTTGAAAGCTACGAGGCAAGGAGATGGAAAGGTATTTTAAGCAAAGAATACTGTGTGAGTTTGGTGTGGAAGCCTTTTTATTCTGTCAATGAGTTTATGGTGTCTGATGTTTGGGGGCCAATGAATCAACCAGAGAAATAGAAAATTTTGATGACTAACCCTAACAACTGATCTGCAAAACATCAGATAAGGATGCCACATCTTTTTCATTTGTTTATCTTCCCTCCTAGCCACCCACTGCAGCCTAGGCATCATATACTATACAAGACACTGAGTTTCAGCATACACATCCTGCCCTACTTTAGAGAGACAAGATATGTAAGTTAGGAATCAAGGCAGACTCAATCTGACAGATACTGCAGGAGACTCATTCTTACTTAAAGGAAAATTGAGTTTTAGAGAGACTGTAGCACGTATCTGGGCCCGGAAGAACAGAGAAATGAGATGGGAGAACAAAGCAGCAGGCAGAGGGCATAGCCTTAACCAAGCCGACAAAGCAGATGGCAAACACTAACTTCTGAAGATTGGGATGAGAACAGAGACCACTTGATCTCTCTCTATTTCATTTTCTGCACCTGTAGAATGGAAGCAGCACATCCTTTACTGGGTTCACGGAAGGATCCGATGAAACAACACACTACCATGAGTGCCAATGATATTTACCTCTGCACCAGGAAGGCCCTATGTGAACTCTGGTTATCTCTTAGCCTTATGTTAAAACTGTAGGAGAATATATGGGGCACCATGAAAATGCATGGAGGGGTAATTTCAGGATGATTAGAGATATTCAGGCTTCAAAGTTGGCTTTCTTATGAAAGGAAAATAGGAAATTCATTGGGAAGGGTATGCTGGGCCAAGTGCTTTGCAGCGAGGAACTGATATGTTTAAAATTGAAAAGGCCTGTGTGTATTGGGGTGGTGGTGGTGATCAAAGAAACCAGTTTAGAAGTTATAAAGAGGTAAGTGAACTAGGGGGCAGGTAGAAATGCAGACACAGTTGGGCAATACTGCAGAGGTATAATCAGTAAGATGTGAAAACTAATGGGTTTATGGTGGGAAGTAGCAAAGAGCAAAAGATGGCCAAGCACTCGAGCCCAGATGATTTAAAAAGCAGTGGTTCCTTAGCAAAACAGCTCATTTCTGACTTGAGTACCATCCATGTCACCCCTACTCTTCTGCAGACATAATGCTTATGAAGTAGACTCTGCAGCCTTATGCCATTGTTGACTTATACCTAGAATAAGAATGAGTATATCCAGCAAGGTAAGGCACATGGATAAATAAGTCTTTCTTAGGTGCAAATCTTATGTGCAGTCTTATGACAGGCAGTCAGCCATTAAGGAGGAGGAGGCAGTATGGGATTAGCTTGGTTTCCCAGACAAGCAGCTAGGTAAGGAAAGCCCCATCCATATCATCAATTTACTCCAGGTATATGGGAAGGAGCAGTTAACGAAAACATACCCATTAAAGTAAATATTTTGCAGCAGATGCAACATTTGCCTAACATCAAGTTTACCTCTAGGAAGTCCCTCTCTATCTTGGTAATTGCTCTGGTATCCTAGGACCTACTACATGCTACACAGTGTTGCCCATTATTCTCACTTAATCCTCATTGTGGCAATGTGATGTGAGGGTAAGATTTTTTAATGTCCTGTTTTACCAATGAGAAAACTGAAGTTTAGAAAAACTGGCTCAAACGTCTGAGCTGAAACATGGTAGGACTTTCTAGAACAGATACCTTTACTTATTTTTTAACCCAACATTACTTCTAAGCTTTAAAAAAAATGTCATGCAATACTTATTAATGAATGCTCTTGCTTGTACTCGAGGATACACTGCCTTTAAAACATACACTTTTTTCCTTGAAAAAGGAACAATCATCTGGCTCTGAGATTCAGCCAACACAGGGTGGGTTAAATCAATTTATTAGCTGAGGCACCCAGCCCCACAATCTTGCTTTGCAACCCACTACAACTAAATCTATGCCCTGACAAAAGAACAAATTACGGGTAGCATGAACTTTAAATGGTCTCCTGTGGACAGCACCAACTGTGACTGCTGAATCCTCAAATGCCGTGGGCCTGGGGCAGTACCACAGAGACACCAACAGAAGCCCTGACTCAGGATCCATGCAAGCCTCTCAATCCTAAGCAGGAGTTTTTTTCTGTCTCCTGTCATCTGGGACAACAGACTGAGGGCAACATTTGGTGTTTGGATCCCAAGTGTGTTACCTTACATTGTGCAGGGACATCTGTTCTTCCTGGAGCTGGCATTGCACACCAGCTTGCTAAACAAGTCTGCCAATTTGTAAAAATACCAGCAAATTCTTTCCCCAGATTTTTGGAATATTATACTATCTCTTTCGATTCAAAAGCTTCCTGCCCGTGTAAGCTATCAGCTTTATGAAGTGAACTGACTATGCTCACATCCAACCACAAACTATTTCTCCAGTCCACAGCATCTCCAGGTTCTCCAAAAAGATGTCAAAAATCCATGCCCGGAAGCTTCTGGATCTGGAGAAGCTTAAATGTCAAAAATGCCAGAACCACTACTTCTATTCCCACCACCATCACAGAACACAGCTTTCAGTGAGCCTGCAGCAGGACCAGAGGTCAGGCAGACCCAGCCTCTCCCCCAGAAGGGCCTGTCTGACCACTAGTAAGAATGAATCACATGAAAGCTCAATTTGACTTCAGCTTCCCTGAAAAGACTATTCAAGTGAAAGGAACTGCCTCATTAGGCCCAGCCTTTAGGTGTGCTGCCCACCTCCAGCCAGCCATAAAAATCTGTAAAGTCAATACACTATTTACAACCTTGGCTGCCTCCACAACCCCTTGAACACACTTCCCATTGTTCACTCTGTACCCCCAAGTCGTGCCCTTCCACTTTATGCAACCTCAATTTACCTTTTCCCCTTACCCCCTCAGCATAATGATTTACACTGTACATCCCATACTGATCCCAGCACATCTCGTTGACTCTAGATAATGTATCGTGTAAAGCTGTATTGTTCTCCCAGATCTAAGACAGCCTTATCCTCTCTTGACACTCCTAAGTTTTGCCTGTCCATGAACTAGGTAGCCAGGCAGTAGAAAGAACAAAGAGGAAACAGATAACATAAACCTTGAAGTCAAACAGAACTAGACAGAATTTTAACACCATCACTTACAGAATGTGGGGCAAATAGCTAACCTCTCCAGGCCTGGCAAGTTACTTAATTTCTCCATGCCTGGCAAGTTATTCAATCATTCTGGCCTAACAAATTCTTTAACCTTATTTATCTATATATACCACGAGGACTACTAGGGATAATACATATAGATACTTTTCTGGTAATTGATAGGCAAGCAATGACTTTAATAACTGATGACAATAACTATTTAACATAATTGTGTTAGCAACCAAGAACATTAAGAATCATACCCATTGCTTGTACTAACAAATAATTCAGTTTATAATCTATATTCTGAATGAAAAACTGTCCATTTCACAGATAGCAAAGGCATATAAAGATTAATAAAAGGACTGGTCAGCTTGGAAAGGATTTGATTGAGAATGGAGTCACCCAGGCTAGGAACTAATGAGTAAAGGAAATCACAACTTCTGATTAATATATAAACTGCTGGAGCCCCTTTCCACACGTAGCAGAGTGAGTAGTGATCTCAGAGCAATACAAATAAGGAAACTGAGACCAAGAGAGGGAAATTAACTATTCACACATCACAGGGCAGAACTAGGATAAAGGGGCATGGGCAGGAAGTGAACAGTACAGATTAAGAAAGTGCATGCAGGACTTGGGCATTCTGGCTCTACCACCTACAGTGGAGATTTGGACAAGTTACCCAACTTCTCACTTATCTATGAAATGGCCTTTCACAGTGATACCTTCTCACAGGGTAAGGACAGCACCAAGCTAGGCACAGAATTCACTGTGTAGAATAGCGTTTATTATTATTAGCAGGAGCAGTAACAGCAGTAGCTACTGCCTGCCGTAGTCACTACCCAGCTTGTATACGAAATAAACAGTCACCTTTCATAAGGTATCAGACATACCTTTGAATCACTCAAACTCAGTCTTCTGGGAGATTGCTACCTGATCTCAGAAGAGAAACTTAAGAGCAGAGCCAAGGTATGAAATCTTCAGTCAGTGCTTGAGTCTCTATCCAATGGTATGCTTTAGGTACCTTTATTCCCCACAGCCCACTTTTTTCCTTGGGAGTTTATGAGTTCCATGAGCTAAAATGGAGAACTTTAAGCAATTAATGAAGTAGATCTTTACTGAGCAACTGCTACTAGTCTAGCCTTATGGGTGGAGCCAGAGACATAATTTTTAGAAACAGATGTGAAATTTTTATCTAAAAACTAGACACAAAGGACATTCCATGGTTAATACACTCATGTGGTTTGTGGGTTTTTTGTTTTGTTTTGTTTTTTAGGCTTACCACTTCCTTTCAGGGCAGCACTCAAGCTGCATTTACTCCTTATGCACTTCAACCCAGTTCTAACTAAATGTGAAACTGTCTCAATGCCACAAAGGCCATTCACTAACAAAGCAGATTTCCAGCACGTGAGGTTACCACCTGCTACTCCCCTAGCTCTGGTGGTGGAGACAAGCCTGTGAACTTTAGATTGAGGGTGTGTGCTTAAGATGCCTGCAGATAGCTAAGATCGTGCCTAACGTTTAGCAAACAAGGAGTAACAAGTGGCAGGCACTTTCTGCACATCACATGTATTCTCTTAAACGTGTGAAGGATGGGTTATTCCACGTCCTAAGTAACACTCAGAACAAAGGAACCTGTCTAGGTTCTCCCATGGAGCTATGCAGTAGAGCAGCACCTCGCATGCCCACATGTGAACACTCTGGCACAAGAAAAAAAAAAAAAAAACCTACATTCACTCAAAACATGATCTACTTCCATAGATGACCAGACTATTATTCCCTCCAGGCAAAATCAGACTAAGTAAGAGGTTGGGAAATGCATCCAGGAATGACTTTTAAATTGTGCTGTTCTATCAGAAAGGCACAGTGGAAGGAGTCTCTCAAAGGTAACACACCTGTATACACAAGAGAGGGCACTTCAGCAGCCTTGCCCACTGTGACTTCTGGACACAGGGACAGGGCCCTTCACAGTCAGAAGATCTCTCAAACGAGTATCATGGAAGTCAGGAGTCAAACACAACTGAGTTTACATGCCAGATTAACCATCTGCTCTGTGGTTTAGGATATGGCACTTAACTTTTTAACTTTCTGACTACAGAATAAGGAATAACATTTGGACTGTCAACAAGACAACTAGGAAGCTTTACTGAGAGAATGTACTTTAATCAGTACTCAACATAGCTGACTGTGTTTTTAGACAGAGGTTGACACATGCTGGACCACCAACAAGCAAGCAGTAAAATAGCTGATTCCAAGGGTAACTCAATCCCTACCAGCTATTTTCCTAAGCAATGTGTGCTGATATTCCAGCTAAGTCTTCTGCCCTCAACTCCAGTCTAATTTTTTTTTTTAAAGCTGACTTCAGTAATGTTGTAGCTAGGTTTGGAGTTGATAAAGGCAATGCTACTCTTCTATTCCAGAGACAAGACACACAAAAGAGGCCATTCAGAGCAGGAGCTACTCTCCCAGTCTAGGACTGCCCTCAGCCTGAGGCCCCACTGAGGGATTCTGTCAAGCTCGTAGTGGCCTCCTTCTCTCAGCTTGGAGCTCCTTATACCTCATCCACCTAACCTCAAGCTCTTTCCATTCTCTCTCCACTGGTTCTGGTCTAACAGCAAACCAAGAACAAAGTCCAGGGCGTCTCCTGATCAAGAATCACTCTGCTTTAGATTACTGGGCAATCCTCCTTTTCATTAGAAATGGCTGAAAAGGGAAGACAAAGCAGGCTGTAGCAAAGAAGCAAGGAAGGAGGGAACATACTGTGGTGGCTATCTACATGTGTTTACTTCCGCCATTCTTAGTTACGTGGCCTTGGACAAGTGACCTCCTAAGCCTTAGTTTCATGTGTAACACTGGACATAGAAAAGCATATTTAGACGACTATATAGAGAAGCAAGTACATACAGAATTTCCTACCGCAGTAAATCCTGAGTACTTACTGGGCACCAGACAGTATGCACCCTCCTTTATTCACTGAGCCCTCACAACTATCTTAGGATGGAGGTCCCTGAAGAGCTAGTGCACTGAGAGGTCAAGTAACTCTTTAAAAAGATTACAAAGCAGGAAGAGAAAGCCAGGATTTGAACCCAGAATATCTGACACTGAAGTCACGTTCCCTCCATTTTGGCAAGATTTGCATTTTGGGCTAGACACGATTTACTGGTGGGGTTGTTATCTAGAAACCAATAGCTCCCACACCCCCTCAACTGTGACAACTGACAGTGTCTTCATCTAGGCCCTGTTAAATGTTTCCTGGCAGAACAAAATCACCCCTGGCTGAGAACCATGGCTTTAGACTGTGTGTGACACAGGCTAAATACTCAGCACATGTGGGGCTCCCCCTTGCTCCCCTACCATTGTTTTGTTTCTCTCCCAGCACTAATAGCACTTCATTCACAGAAGCACTGCCTCTGAGCTATTACTGAGCTTCTATAAGAGAAAGTCAGGTTTAAGATCATTTTGGCTCAATACATTGGAGGGCTTAAGCATCTCTCTCACAGCTTGGGGGTACAGTGAAAGGGACAGGTAGCAGAAGAATTTAGGGGGTTTCCTGCTTCATTGCCCCCACTCCCTCTCTTCTTCCCCCAGGCCTATAATGTTGGGTCTGCAGGGGGTAGATTGAGCTGATCAGAGAGAGTTAGTGAGAGGGTTATGCCTGCCTCAGGCTAAAAGGGCCTTCAGTTAGTTAAGAGGAAGACTGCCCTTCGGAGAATGTCAAACTCTCCTTCAGGATCTCTCAAGACTCGTGACTTTATTCCCAAAGCCCTGCATTCTCCTAAATTCCATCCATTCATACACGGTTCATTTATATATTATTTTCAGGTCCCTGGGTCTCCAGAACACCCTCTTGGTTCAATTATGCAGAGACCAAAAACAAATGAACAAAGAAACAAATATTCCTTTAGGAGTCAAAGAACCAATTCACAAACTACAATCTAGTTACAACACTCATTCCCCACCATTCAATCCTCAATAAACCCCATTCCCAACCCTAAATCCCAAATCTAGAATTCAACCTTCTAGACTGTATGTTGCAACCTTGCAACTCGCCAATTACTTTTGTGTCCCACATCGCTCGGATATATCCTTTATTCGATCTATTTTCAAATTTCCACATCTATTACTCCTGTATGCCAGCTCCAAACTCCAACCCTGTACCTCAGATTTCTGCCCTCCCTCAATCTGAGCCCTCATCTGCATTTCCCCATCTTGCACTGTGCAACACCCCCCACCCCCACCCCCGCCCTGCCTCACGTGTTGCCTTCAAGCCCTTGCTGCGATTTGCTAACTGGATACTGATTCCCCTGGGAACTCACCCCTCAAATCTCTCCCAGATTCTACTACAGAAATCCCTTTCTCTTCAGCAATCAGGATTTTCCAAGACCCTGGCTGTTCTGATCTCAGATTTTGCTCCCATTCCACCGATCTCCTCAAAGCCCCTGAGATTCTGCCCACCAACCCCCAACCTATCTCATCCATGCCTCCCAAATTCCTTTCTATTTCTGATATTCTGCAGCCAGATCCCTCCAGGGACTTCAGATCCCCCCATCTCCCACATGCTTCACACCGTCTCTCCGCACGGCCCCCACATTACCTCATACCTCCCGAGATGCTGCAACTGCAAATCTCCTCAGCCCCTTTGCTCCCCTCCCCCAGCTGCATCTCAGCCCCGCCGAATCGCTCCCGAGCCCGTCCCTCCCCCACCAGTCCTGCCACTCCGATCCAGTCCCCAAATCCTGCCATCCAGTCTTGGAGCCCCGCGACCCACCACAGTCCCTGTTCGCAGACCCTCCTTCCCTCCCCCTACCTGACCGCCCGCGGCTCCGACGCGAGTCCACCGCTGCCAGCCCACCCGCCCGCCGCCCTTCGCGCATGCGCCAGCGCGCACTTCCCACGTCGGCCGCCAATTCGCAGGACGGCCTGTCCGTCACCGTGCCCCGCCTTCCCGGGGCATGCTGGGGTTTGTAGGCCTGCAGGCCCAGCGCTCGCGGCCCAGCTGAAGCGATAGGGGTGACTCTGGAAACCTAGGCCACCGCAGCGTGTGAGTCAGTTTTCTGCCCTGTGTCGGAGTCTAAACCCCGTCAGTCAATGCTGATCTCCCAGTAGTAGCCTACAGAAAGTCCGAGCGCCTTGCAGAAACGCCCCTTTGTACCTCAACTTGGGAAGACAAACACGCTCCTTTCAAAGAGCTGGTCCTGGGGCTAGATATTTCTGCCTGTGACACATCCCTCACCCTAGTCACTGAACACACTACGTTTAAGAAGGAGGTTTTCCTGCATTGAACCTTGTCAGGTGAGAGGTTTTTGTGGCCCACTGAGGAGCCAGGACCTCCTGGGTCCTGAAGATAATCTGGGGACAGGTAATACCTGCTCCTGAATGTGAACACACATTACTAGTTAGGAATCTGAAGAAATCTGAAATATTATGTTTTCAAATTTAAAATTCCACCCAGCTGTGTGCCCCCTGCACAGTGATAAGGCAATAAACAAAAACAGTAATATCTCTGAGCACTTTCTGACTAACTACAGCTAAGCACTTTACCGGTTTAGCCCAATCCTCGGAACAACTCTGAGATAAGGAAAGTGAAGCCTAAGGGTTAAACGCCAAAGCAACCTTTCAGAACCTGGATTTCAATCCACCCTTCAGAAGCATACTTACCCTTGTTTTATCTTTTTGTCTGTTTCTTTATCTCAAAGTAAAGTCAAGGGTTGTTGTGATGATTGAGTGAGGTTATGAATAATTCACACTTTATTAACAGTAGCTTTTTTTTTTTGAAAAAATTAGAATAAACTGGGCATAGTGCTACATACTTGACATCCTAGCACTTGGGAGAATGAGCAAGGAAAACTGACAGTTTAAAGGCAGCCTGTATTGTTCTAGTTTGCTATCTACTGCTGTGATAATGACCATGGCCAAAAGCAACTTAGAGAGGACAGGGTTTATTTGGTTTACACATCCTGATCCCAGTCCATCATTGGAGGAAGTCAAGGCAGAAACTCAAGAAGGCCAGGGACTTGGAGGCAGGAACTGAGGCAGAGATAAAAAGAATGCTGTTCACTGGCTTGTTCACCAAGCTTGTAGTTAGCTACCTTTCTTATATCCCAGGACCACCTGTCTAGGGGTGCCACAGCTCATAGCAACCATCAGTCAAGAAAATGCCCCACAAACCTGTCCACAGGCCAATCTGATGGAAGGAAGTCTTTTCTCTGTTGAGGTTCCCTCATCTTGGATGTGTCTAAATTTGTGTCAAGTTGACAAAAAACTTACAGATACATAGTGAGCTACAGGCCACACCACGATCCCTGTCTCAAATAAACAAAACAGGAACAAAGTTGTAAATAGTTTTGACAACCTGTCATACAGCTAGCTCTGTTGTCCCAGGTCTCTGCATGTCAAATATCAGGAGAGGAAAGATGATTGAACGTTGCATTTCTGTACGGTTTTTGCTCCCAAAAGAATTGAGTCAAATGTGAGTAATATGCTCTGCAAACACAGATTCCTGTTGTCCAAAATAGCACACCCCACTGTACAAGAGGCTTATGTACATTTATATTCACAGAACAAAAGGGTCCTAAGTCAGCACGCTTACCAAATGCATTGTGGGGGATATCAGATAGACAAGCTGCAGCACGCTAGGGAAACTCTTTTATGTTTTCCAGATGTTATAACATTCTTTTAGAATTAGTGGAAACTAGTGGTCTGCTAAGTTTAATAATACATTCCAACAGTTTTACTTCATAGTCACAAGGATTTTAGGTCAGATTCAGAGGTTGGTAATAAATGGCTATTAAGAGGACCAAAGATTGGACTTTAGTTATCCATTTGCCTATTTTTCTGTCACCTTCACCAGTGAGCTGCAAAATCCCCGAAGGACATTGTCTGCTTACAGCCACATCTGTTAGCACAGTGTCTAGCATATAAGATTTTCAGAGTAAATGAGCCAGACTCAGACATGTGACTTTAGGAAAATCACGTCCTTGTCTGACCCAGGGCTATTGTAGCTGCAAAAGGACCCAGTGGCATAAAACTAGTAAGAGTTGGACATTTTCTGAGCACTTCATAGACACACACACATCATAACTGAGCCTTTCAATGATACGGTAGGTATATACAGGAACTATATAGCATGTTAAATTTACCTCCTGGAAGCATAGAGCTAGAGTCCAAAACTAGGTCTATCAGGTCCATGAAATGCTCTAAACCACCCTCCATAAACAACCTCCATTTTATAAAAGGAGCTATCTTTCTATTTTTTTCTATTTTGTTAAGAAAGCATTGTTCAGAATATTAAAAAGAGCTGATGAGAAATTACAGTGCTAAATCAAGGAATTGCCACAGACTTGACTATGACCACATGGGGATTGCTTTCCTCTATCTGGAGCCATTCTGAGCAGCATCACCAGCAAAGAACACTATTTCTCTTTGTTCTGTACTTCTGTCACATCAGAGGCTTGCTGTGGTATCTTCCTCTAGACAGGTAGGGAAGCCTTCTGAAAAGGGTCCTAGGTTACTTCGACTCACTGTGTTGTAGGTAGAAAACATGGGAGAGCTACTGTCAAATGGTTTCTGAATTAAATTCAATTCTAGAACAAGGGGGTAAGAATTAGTATTCTGTTTTCTAAAAACTACAATCAACAGCTGTGGTGGTTTAAATAGGTATGACCACCATAGACTCATGGGTTAGAAAGCTTGACCCATAGAGTGTGGCATTATTAGAAAGTATGGCCTTGTTGGAGTAGGTGTGACCTTGTTGGAGGAAGTGTGTCACTGTGGGGCCAGGTTTTGAGATCTCATGTGCTCAAGCTACACCCAGTGTGGTATATAGTCTCCTGCTGCTGCCTGCATATCAAAATATAGAATGCTCAACTATCTCTCCAGGACCATGACTGTCTGCATGCTGCTATGTTTCCAGCTATAATGATAATGGACTGTAGCTAGAGTTTTCCTGCCTGGCCCACAGTCAGGACAAATCTCTCTCAACCACCAGTCCCACAGCCGCTCAGACCCAACCAAGTAAACACAGAGACTTATATTGCTTACAAACTGTATGGCCATGGCAGGCTTCTTGCTAACTGTTCTTACAGCTTAAATTAATCCATTTCTATTAATCTATACCTTGCCACATGGCTCGTGGCTTACCAACATCTTCACATGCTGTTTGTCATCGGCTGGCAGTGTCTCTGACTCAGCCTTCTACTTCCCAGCTTTATTCTCCTCCTTGTCCCACCTATACTTCCTGCCTAGCCAATGGCCAATTAGTGATTTATTTATTGACCAATCAGCAACACACTTGACATACAGACCATCCCACAGCAATGGACTAAACCTTTGATCTCTAAGCCAGGCCCAATTAAATATTTTCCTTTATAGGAGTCACCATGATCATGTGTCTATTCATAGTAATAGAAACTATAAGACAGAAGTTAGTACCAGGTACTGGAGTATTGCTGTGATAGGCCTGACCATGTTTTTGTTTGTAGGAATGTGGACTTTGGGAGTTTGTATGAGAAAAGCTTTAAGTGAGGCTTGTAGCTAAAGTTTATCTGTGTCCTACCCAATCCGTAGCCACTCAGACCCAAGTAAACACACTGAGGCTTATATTAATTAAAACTGCTTGGCCATTAGCTCAGGCTGACTACTGACTATCTCTTACACTTAAACTCAGCCCATTTATGTTAATCTATATGTTGCTACATGTTCCATGGCTTTACCTGTGTGCCATTACATGCTGCTCCCTGCAAGGTGGGCTGGCATCTCCTGACTCAGTCTTCCTCTTCAAAGAATTCCCTTGTCTGCTTATCCTGCCTATACATCCTGCCTGGCTACTGGCCAATCAGTATTTTATTAAACCAGTGTACAAAAGCATTATTCCACAGCAGGGGCTTAACTGGCCATAGTAGTAGAAACATGGAAGATAATGGTACTGTACTGTGGAACAAATCCTCTTGTACACAGTAAAGAGTTGTCAATTGAACTGGTTAAATAAAATGTTGATTGGTCAGTATCCAGGCAGGAAATATACGCTGGGCAACCAAACTAAAAATGCTGGAAAGAGGAAGTGATATTCAAATCTTAAATGGTGTTATTAATTAAAAAAAAAAACTTGGAGCCTGATATTGGGTGAAAACTGAAAGATCAGAGAAGCAGAGCAAGCCACAGCCAATTTCACCTGGCCACCTCCTCAGCCAATCCTGTTTCCAAAAATTCTCAGACTGAAAGCCTCTGAGTCCTTACCCAAAAGGGTCTCAGCTGAACTGCCTTTTTCCTATCTTTTCACACCTTATATACTTTTCTCTGTCCAGCCATGTCACTTACTGGGGTTAAAAGTGTGTATGTTTCCCAGCACTGGGATTAAAGGTATGTGCCACCACTGCCTGACCTCTATGTCTAATCTAGTGGCTGCTGGCTCTGTCCTCTGATCCTCAGGCAAGCTTTATTAGGGTACACAATATATCACCACATTTCTCCTTTTCTGTCTAAAATAATAAAAGAAGGTTATAACTAATATAAGAAAAACTATGTACAATAAGTATATACAATATATACAGTCAAGAATTACATTAACAATGTCTAGTCCATTAACATTTGACAGAGTCACAGAAAATGCTCCATTATTTATCCTGTTTGGTGAGTCAAAAAAGTTGTACCTAATTTACTTGCTATCGTAACTTATTACCAATACAAAACTTTCTTTTGATGCCTTCCAAACTTATACACTTTACACCTCTTTAGTGAGTTTCTTTTCTGAATTTGTTAACAAGGAAAACTATAACTATCTAATTTTCAACTCCCTCAGAGAGTTTTCCAATGGCAAAGGCAAAGGATTGCCTTGTCTGTTGCTTGCTGATTTATATTCATTAGTCCAGTGTTTGCCTTTGTCACACTTTCTGCATAATCCAG